AGTACACTCCCCTCGTCAGCCCTGCCGGCCTTCAAAACGCCCATGGCTGCACTGGGGAGTAAACAGAGGCTGGCTATAGATACTAACATCACACCCTGGTTACACACTGGGCTGCTAGTTGAAAGGCCAGAAGTTCAAAACCACCAGCTGCTCCTCGGGAGAAAAATGAGGCTTTTTACTCCCTTAAGTGCTGCAGTCTGGGAAACACGCAGGAAGGGGCAGTTCTACCCTGTCCCACAGCGTTGCCAGGGGAGCGCCAATCAACGAGATGGCACTGAGTTGGCACCCTGGTGGTACAGTTGTTACGTGCTGGGCTGCTCCAAGCACTAGGTCAGGCCGCCAGATCACAATGACCAGCTGCTCCGTGGAAGACGGGGCGCTCGACGGGGCAGTTCTACCTTGTCTCGCAGGATCCCCGTGAGTCAGTACCGACTCGATGGGTGAGGGTGGGAACCTGCAGAGGGCGTGGCCCGGGTTGCCCCAGAGGCAGGGTGCCCGCACCACTGCCCCTCCTTTCTCCCCAGTGACCACTGCCCCTCTCGTCACTGGCAGACACACAGGGGACAGACACCCTCCAGTCCTGACACCTGACGACCCCTGTCCAGGAGGAGAGCTGACTACAGCTTGGGGGTGGGGGAGGCGGTGACACTTTTCCAGGCACAGGAGACCCCCTTGGCCCTGGGGCCCCGGGGGGAGCCCCTGCTCACCAATTTGCCCTCGGCACTCCCCTTCCAGGTTTTGATGACGAGCTCCAGGAGGTCAACGTCCAAGACGCAGACGTAATCTGGATGGGAAGCAAGCGGAAGTTCCTCACGCCGTCCAGGGAGCGCACCCATTTGGGGGTGCTGGTCCAGAGGGGGCGGGGGGGTGGGGTGGGAGGAGCCCAGGCTGGACCCTGCCCACCTCGCCGAAGGTCCAGGGTCTCCACCTCACACTTGTCGGACAGGTACAAGGCAGAGTCGTCGAGGATGAACCTGGGGGGGCGGGGGGGCAAGGCTGAGAAGGACCCAGAGCCACAGCCGGTGGGGGCAGCCAGAGCAGCTGGGAGACCCCCCAGCCCACAAGAAACTCCGGCAAGCCTTGCCTCAGAGTTCTCATCTGTACAGTGGGGAGATGCGTCCAGTATTCCGAGGCACTGTGGACTCGGGGAAGGGGCAGCCCTGGGCTTCCCAGCTCCACTGAGCCCCGGGGCGGGGCGGGGCGCAAGCTCCCTCCTCCCCTAGGGTTACTATTCTTTTAGAACAAGCGCTTATTTGAACAGCACGGGGGACCGGCTTCTTCCATAGATGTGCGAAGGTAGCCTTAAGGAACATCATCTGTGATGCCCCCACACCTCCTTCCAGCTGTAGCTGCACTCAGAGATGCACAGAGAAACCCTCTAGAAGGGCATTTTCTAATCACGTGTAATTTTTGGTTTTTTTCCTGCTCTGTGGCCTTTCCCCTATCTTTCTCATGTTGACTTTCACAGTGGGGCAGAACCCCATGCCATGCACTGGGTGATGGTATTTCCTTGCTCAGGTTGCCACCCTAAGTTGTTTGATGGTGCAGTCGCTGAGCGCTCGCTGTCGGGTTGGCAGTTTAAATCCACCAGCCTCTGGGAGCTGGCAGCCACGGGACCCGGAAGTGGCTGGGAGCTTGGGCCTGGCTTGGGAAGTGGCTGGGAGCTGGGCCTGGC